TGTCGCATACAATTGTTCATTGTTAACTGTGGAATTCTAAAACAATTATACTTGTTCACTATTCAACGGTTACTTACTTAGTTTTTGATGTTGTTGAAGACGGTGTTGATGCAGATGATGTTCTTGATGTTAATGCTGCTAATGCTGCTGCTACTATTGGTGTTAATGGCAATGAAAGTATTGGTGGTGATTTTGTTGATAATTATGGTTTTGGAGGGTATGATGAGTATGGTGAGTGTGCTGTAATAGAATTTATGAGATTGATAATAGTGAGCATATTGAAGATGGACGATAGTATCGCTTATGTATGTTGGCGATGATACTGGCTTTTGTAGTATCGTTAAATGGTTATTGGGTGTTGAAGAAGAAGAAGAAGATGGTGAAGAAGGGAAAAAAAAAGACAGACTTTGATTCGTTTTAGGTAAAAGACTGTTTTTGTGTATTCTGGTTAATTGCTACTGCATCTCTGTTTGTTAAAATGTTGGTGATATCGGGTGAAGGCGTTGATAATAACACTGATGTTGGCTTTGGCTTTAGCTATGACTTTTTTTCGTGTTTGCTACTTAATGGGATGGAGACAGAGGATGCTTAAGAAAATTAAAATTTGATGTATTTTATATTTGATTTTTTTTCTATGTTTTTTTAATGTCATTAATATTTAGTGTTTTAAAAGAAGCATGAGAAGGGAGAAAGGAAAGGACGATGAAACAGTGATAAAAATAGTAGCAGTTTTGTGAAATATATTATACTTTTTGCTATTAACAGATAGCTGAAAAAGTAGTTGTAGAAAGAAGTGGTAAAGAGCTGGACGAACTAGAAACAGGAATAGGAGAAGAGAAAGGAATAAAAGTGATTGGAGAAGATGGATAAGAAAGAGTTTCAGTAATTTTATTTCTTCTGAATATCTATTTATTTCATAATGGTTTTTCAGTCTTATTATTTTTTTCTCATTTTGCTTATGAACTTTTTTTCTTTCAGTACAGTTTGGTTTTTTTTTTTTGCAGTGCTTTTGGTTTTGAAAAGCTTCTAATTGTGTATTGTAAAAAGAGGGGAAATGTTGAGTGCTAATGGTTTCTGAAATAAAATCTGTAATTAATTGTTATTTTTAAGTTATATTTTTTCTTCTTTTTTTCTCTTTAAATATTATTCTTGCTATTCTGTGGTCGTAATTGTTAGATCAGTTTATCGTTAAGTATAGAAGCAGTAGTAGTAGTAGTAAGAGTATTGGCTAGTGTAAAATAATTCCGCATATCACGAATACACCCACTGTATGTAATGTGTATTATGTACCAAATAGTGTAAAATAATATTGCCTAACAGATTTTACTCAACTTTGTATTGTTTTTTGTACTGCTGCATTGTATTCTGTTGTTCAGTTCAGTCATTAATGCATCTGATCTTAAGGCTACTGATTATTGCTTAGCACAGTTTTGAAATAGATGAAGCTGTTTCTTTCTCTTCATTGTCTAAAAAGAATTTTTTTGGAAAATAAGTTTTTTTTTTTGTAACCTATCGATTGTGATCTTCTTTAAAATTAGTAAGTTTTCTTGCAAGTTGAAAGAGGAGAGGAAGAAGAGAAATTTTTATGATTTTTGTCTTTGCTTGTACAATTTTCAGGCGAATATTAGCTACGATATGATTAATTTAATATATAATTGTCAGGTAGTAGAAGAAGAAGGGGAATGGAGAGTCTGGAGGGGGGAGGGAAATGGGAGTGTTGGAAGAGTGAAGAGTAGAGGCTACAGGAAAGTAAAAAAATAGCGGTTGACGGATTTGAGTGGAGAATAAAATAATTTATGAGGTTGGGTAGTGGTCAAAAAGAAGGAAGAATCTGTAATGATTAGAAAAAAAGTGAAAATTTATTGTTCATATTTATGTTTATATTTATTCAATTTTTTAATCAAGAATAAAGTAGTTTTTAAAGTTTTCATTTTGATTTTATTTTATATTTTTATTTTTTGTTTTTTGTTTTTATTTATTTTTTATTTTTTTTATTTTTTACTTTTATTTTTTGGAATTCTACAATTGTTAATGTTGGATAGATAGCAGTTGCGTTAAGAACCGGTAATAATAGCAAATTTTAGTAATCGGGGAGCTGTATGTTGTTTCAATAAATTTTTATAAGATTTGTTGAAAGTGACAGTAAATTTTGTGTTAAACGAGGTTACAATTTTGCTTTTGTTATTGTTTTTTCCTCCTGAAGAGAAAACCAAACTTGTAGTATCCTTATCAAGACCAGTGATGTTTCACACTGCAGTTAATTGCATGGTCTCGTATCTGTGTTCCGGTATTTTATCTTCTTTTTTTTGCCCTGTTTATTACTGTATTCTTTAATAAGAATTTAACGGATACTCTTGTAATCAGGTTGGTAAAGGTGCTGATGATTTTATTGATGCAGGCGACGGATGACGGTGACGGTGATGGTGTTGGGAACGGGAACGACGGACGACGTTAGAGGCGACACCGTGTCGCCATCGTTGATCCGTCGTCAGTCGTTCATCAGCTGCAAAAAAATCGTCAATTATCTCGGGTTTGGTATTGTACCGTCTTGTTAATTTGTTCTTCTCTTCATTTCTTCTTTTGGCCTTTTTTGTTTTTATTTTTCTTGCGCTAAGACAGAAGATAAAGCTGACTAAGTATAGTAGTGAATTGATGGATGGATGATGTTGGTGGCTTGTTGATTCTATGGTTTACGGTTGCTTTTCAGTTCAGTTGATATACTGTTTGCTTGGTAGTCTTTTTTTTCGAAGTGAATGCAATATTAATTTTCAGTTAGTTATTCGTAACCGTCAATGTAATGGCTTCAGAGAATACTGCTTATAAACCAGTTTATTTTTTAAGAGAATTGTTATTTTATTAAAAGAAAGTTTTTCGTTTCTTTTTTTTTCTTTTAGCTTTCTTCTTTTGTTAAAAATTTATTGAAAATAGTATGGGTGCTTTTTTTTACTTTGTTTGGTTGAGAGGTTTTTAAAATTTCATTAGTTTCTGCTTTTTTTGTTTATTTATCTAATTTCTCTGTTTTTTTCTTTCTACAGCAGCAGACTTCATTAGCCGTATATTAGATATGATAATATTCGATTCTAACAAAAAAAACAAAGGTTAAAAATGAAAGGATTAACATTGTTTATGATCATTTTGAACATCTTTTGTTTTTTTTTCTTTCTTTTCCCATTTGTTAAATGTTTAGGCTTTTTCCACTTTTTTCTTTTCTCGGTGGTAATGACCGGTGTTGGTGAAATATTGGTATTGAAAATGAAGGGACAGTAGTTTTGGTAATTGCAAACACAGATGCAACTGATAAACAGAACATTTATGAAAAGTTCAAAAAGTCTTACACTTTGTGAGATCATATATGTTTTTAATCAAAGTTCTTTATTCTTTTGATCTAGAGCGTAAACTATAAGAGTTAGACAGTTTTCTAGTATAAGTCAATATTGTCGAATTGTTGTTGCATGTGAATGGTGTAGAGTATAACACTTAGCGATGGTGTTAAAAATACGGGAGATCTGTTGCTGATGATCAAAGTGTGATAAATGGTCGGTGAGCAGAATTAGTCACCAGGTTAGTTGATTGGCTATAGGGGAGAGGAAAGGCGAGGGGATTGTTGTTTAGCGGTTAGGCACCTCTAAGCACGCAGTAAAAATAGTCATTTAATGCCCATGTATATGTATATATATGTGTGTAGAGGTATGTATCTGTAGATCTGTGAATCTATTTAGCCGTTTATCTGTCTATTTATTTATCTATGTTTAAGTGTGCGTGAATGTTTTTTGTGTGTGTGTATGTATGTATGCATGTATGTATATATGTATGTGTGTGCTTGTGTGTATGTAGGTGCATATACATGTATTTTTAAGGGGTGCAAAAAAAGTGGTTACTAGGTGATTGTGACAGGACTCAAAGACATGTTTCATCTGTAGGAGGCAATAATTGAAGGAGTAATAGTCTGTCTATAAATGCACAAAGTAACGATAGTAGTACCAGATAATTTTCGGTTTAAGCCGTATAGACGCTTAATGATGGCCCTGGCAAAGCGCGTATTTTGTGGACAATAGCGGTGGTAATGAGATGATTGAATTGGTGGATGAATGGATGGGACTGGACTGGATGGATGGTTGGATAATGATGATTATGATGGTGATGATGATGATGACGATGACGGCAAAAGTACGAGAAAGGGATAAGGAGTGGTTGTGTGGTAAATGCTATAGCTATAGTGGCGGTGGCAGTGGTAGTGGTAGTGGCAACGGCAACAGCATTGGCAATGGCGATAGCAGTAGTGGTATGGAAAAGGGGATGGGATGGGGGGCAAAGGAGGCTGAGAGCGAAAAGGAGTGGAAGGAGGGTCGGCCATTGAATGTCCAGTCGATGTGCACTATGTGTTTGCTTGTTTCTGTGTCTGTCTGGTGGCGGTGATGATGGTGACGATGGTGGTGATGGTGGTGGTGGAGAAGGAGGAGATAGTAGTGAATTGAAAATTGTTGCTGTTTGAGTTTCACTTTTTTTTTTTTTTTTTTTTTTTTTTTTTT